AAATTCAACAAGTATACTTAGAAACAGAAATGCATTTACTCATATACATACATAAACGCATTCATACGCATACGTACGCATATCGGTATATACATATATACTTATATAAGCATATACGCATATACGCATATACACATTTACTTGACTGTCGCACTGTCCCAGTCGAAATGTGTAAATAGCTCGTAAATAGTAAAATATAATTTGTATAATTCAGAAGGCTATGTATGATAATTTTAGTAAATATGCACTATGTACAGTGTGTAGCTTGTACTGTACTTTTTGGTTTATAGTTTTTGTAAAAAATATAGCTAGTACTTCCAGCATATACGGAGTCCACAAATCATATTTTTTTAAAACAACAGTGTGTCAGCGTTACACTGATATCACATTTCACAGGTTATACGAATGCTATTGGATGCGTGGCATATATTTTTGTAGTTGACAATCCAGTAACCAGTAATCTTGTTCTCTAAATATATAATTTTTATAAACGAGGGCCATAAGGCAGAAATATATAATTTTTATAGATGAGGGCCATAAGGCAGGTAGACTCTACTCTAGAGCGAGAGAGAGTCGCTCTTTAGAGAGAGAGAACGAAAGAGGGAGAACGGACGAGTTTCCAGTTTTCACTGTTTCCAGGGGTGTACTAATTTTACTTTTTAGAATTGATGGTTCCGATTCGGCGATTCCGGATTCGAGATTCAAACAAGAAGTCTCAGATCACAACTCTATGACTAGAGTCAAGGTGATGGAATCATTCAATTCGGCAATTCTAGATTCCAAAAACTCTAAAAGACAAATTTGTTTCTAAACAATAAGGTGTCTACTCTTGTGTTGGCCAATCAAGTTCCTTCATGAATTTACATACTTTAAATTGCCCAATGCGAATGTTGTATAACTTTACCCATTTTTGTAGGAATTAGCTAAAATTTATAAATTTACACATGATGTAAATACACAGAGTTGACACTTGACAGCCACAGGGAACCTGTATTCTGGAGTCTGGTCGAGTGGTCGCTGCCTTAGTTGACTGTAGGTTGGTCAGTTTTACTGAAGTCAAATTGTCCGTGCGGTGTTCACGGTCGAGAGTCTACAGCGGGGAATCGCGTCAGAGAATTACACAGTCAAAATTGCACCCAATGGTGTGCCGGTATGTTTCAGTGACAAGTCGACATAAGGATACGAACACCATGCAGTCGAACTACATAAATATCAGAGTATATAGACGAACTCCATCGCTCTTAAATCGTCATTCATACTTCTATTGATTCTACCATTGTCTGGCTGTAGTTAGTGGTTGTATAATAAGACAGAATAATTGAGTTAGAGTAGTGGTTAAGGGTTTGAACTCATATAACGCGTCTCTCATATAATCAGCTGAGTCCACTATCTCACACTTGCTTACAAAGTAAAGTGCAATTGATAAGTTTACTTGTACATCTGCGGAAGCAAAGCATTGATGTAAGTAGGAGAACGGTTTAAGAGACGCTGGGAAGGACAGTCATATATACATACATGCATATTTACGGCTCGCCTTAGGACGAAGTCACAAAACGCCACAATTTTTCGCAATAGCAAAAGCAAAGTCTGCCGAACTGAAACAGAAACCTAAGTATCTGACACAACGTACAATCGTATATCTAACATGAGTTTACCTAGACACTGCTCATCAGATCGTCTGATGAGTTTGGAGTCATTCAGTCAATCGTTCGATGGGAAAGCAGATGACAGTAGCAGTCATGACTCCGCATTCAGCTCAAACACATCCTCTGCGAGCAATTCTCCTAGACAATCACCAGTCACAAAATTGGGTCGACGTCTGTCACGATCACTCATGACAACAAGCGTAACCACGACATCACGTTCTTTACGCGTATCGCTTGTAGCTGCTATATGCATTTTCGGCTGCTTCGCTGTACTGTGTACTGCCATTGCATACAGTATGCCCAGCCATAATGACAATCCCAGACTGAAACTTTCATTGTGGAACCCCATGGAGCCCACAGACACTAAAGATTGTCAGATAAATATAGCCATACCCGGCGTAACCAATGACAATCAACACCAAGCCGCAACATTCACAACACTTGGACGAGAAGAAAAAAAGTTGATTGCTAGTCACTTAGATAGCTTGGTGCACGCGTACCAAGAAGAATACGTTGAGCACATGGCTACCTATGAGTATGCCACTGTACCCAAAAGCAAAGCACAGGATATCGATGCAGGTCTATATGTTGATACAGAGTTTGACGATCACGTTGGAATGTGCCCCAATCATCAACCTGGACTAGTCAAGGCGCGTGATACCACTGGCGATAAAGCCCGATATTGCTTTGGGGGCAGTAGCCTACCGGGTGAGCGTGTGTGTGACGCTGGCATACCAGACTTCGCATCCCCAGCAGAAGTTCACGGTGATGACAATTACTCTACGGTGCAATTATACGAGAAGACATTCGCATATCATGCAAATTACTACATGTCCACATTCTCACGTGAGTTACTCGATGGTGTGAGTGAAATGAGCGACCGAGATGCCATTACCATATCCACACAGGGCACATGGAATCGCATTGAAAACGTTGTCTCTCTAAGTAAGCGGTGGAAGGGCCCAATCTCATTTGCATTGCTGCTTGATGGCAGGGAACAGCTGGCGGAGCTGGAGGCGCTAGTGGCCTCCAATGAGCATATTGCGAAGTATGTAGATTTCCACGTAGTCTGGAGAATGGACCACCACCACACAGATACAGATGCGTTCTACCCAATCAATCTGCTCCGCAACATGGCTTTGCATCCAGTTATTACTTCGCACGTGTTCATCATCGATGTCGATAACATTCCCAATGCACCCCACGACCGCTATCTGGAATGGATTGAGAGCGCCGAAGAGTCGACACAAGTTAAGGATATAGACAGTAAGAGTGCGTGTCCGGGTCTGCATGCATTTGTCCCACCCGCTGTGGAAATGAATGCCGAGGCGCTAGCGGCTATGTACTCTGAGAATGAGTCTGATGATACTATCACCAAGTCTCAGGTGGTGGATGGTTTCTTCGACGGGCGCGTATCACCCATGCACCTTTACTTCAGTCCCGCATACATCCCCACCAATCACTACACGTGGGCAGAGTCGACCGAGGTAGATCTACTACCATACTTGACACGATTCGAACCGTACTACGTTGCTCGCATGCCTATCCCAGTGTTCAACGATACCTTCGTGAATCGAGGCGGCAATTTTGCGCAGCAGATGTATGAGATGGCGGCTGGTGGCTACTCGCTACATCGTCTGCCCGAGGCCTTCATTGTGGACATCCCACATACCAAGGAGACAGCCGTTGACAAGACAGAGCCAAACGCACCGGACACACCAGATGCAACGGAGGCAACCGTAGAGGTGGAGGTGGAGGTAGAGCCATCGGCGAATGAGGTTGTATTGGCAAAGCAAGTTTTGGGAGGCGAAGGGTTGAATGGCAACACGGCACAGCCCACCATTGAAGAACACAAGTATGCAAGTGTTACTGACGCGCAGAATACTGTGGAGAAGGAAAATCCCCAGAAATCAAATGCAGACGAAGAAACCACCGCAGTTGAGGAAAATATGACACAACAGGCGCACATGGACGAGAACTTCGTGGCTACCATGTGGGACAACTTCCACGCGTATGTTGTGCACAGATATCGATTCAATATGCCTACCCCTCAAACGGGTGATCCACAATTCCGAACGTACCGAAGATCGCAGGAAAAGGCTATTGAAGCATTGTGGCATATGCTTGGATCGAAGGAATCGATACAAACCACTTGAGACATATGCAATAGCATACATCACTCATGTAGTGGAATTTAGAAAGTATCAGGTTACGAGATCTCGTGGGGAAGTGCTTCACAATGAACCCTTATGCTTGAAAAAATATTAGCAAAAAAAACACCTCAATACAAGCAGGGACAGATATAAACCAAAAATAAAACCGATTTGAAGTATTGCACACCATGTTCGCGTGTTGGGCTTCATACCCCTAATGAAAGTCCGATTGAGACATAAGTCTGAATATTGATATTATGGATTACTCCATCAAGCACACACTCAGGTTATAACACGACTCTAGAAACACACGAACACATACACGTGTACACACACACACACACACACACACACACACACACACACACACATACATACATGCACTATACAAACTTACTTAGAAGAACCTCACATGCTTAATTTTTTTCTTTTTTTCTTTTTTGGAGACCATGTTTGTGCATTGCGCTTCATACCTCTAATAAGAGTTCGATCGAGACATAGTCTGAATATTAAAGTTATGAAATACTCCATCAATCACACATTCAGGTCATAAAACGACTCTAGAAACATACAGACACACATATATATATATACATACATACAATACAGAAACTTACTCTGAAAGTCGTATATACACATGCACGAAATATCATAGTATATATATATACACATATATAATACATGCATACATACTTATATA